CCCTATAATTCCATTAAATTTTAGGAATGGCTTGTGCAGTTCTGGGGAGATTTTTCAGATTTTTTGTTAGAAATATATAGAATTTGGGCTGGCCCCATGGTATAGTGGTTAAGTTAGCACATTCTGCTTCAGCAGCCCAGGCTTCACAGGTTCGGATCCCAGGCATGGACCTACGCACTGCTTACAAAGCCATGCTGTGGCATTGTTCCATATAAAGTAGAGAAAGATGGGCATGGATGTTAGCCCAGGGCCAGTCTTCCTCAGCAAAAAGAGGACGATTGGCAACAGATGTTAGCTCAGGGCTAATCTTCCTCACAAAAAAAAAAAAAAGAAAAGAAAAGAAAAAAGAAATATATAGAATTTATTGATTAATTTGGGGAAAATTATCATCTTTAGTGATATTGAGTGTTCTTATCCATGAACATGGTACATCTTTGCATTCAAGTCTTTAAAAAAGTGTTTTCTGTAATTTTTTACAATTTTCTCCAGAAAGCTGTTTCACATATATTGTTAGATTTATTCCTCATTACTTTATAGATTTATTGCTATTGCAAATGTATATTTTAAAGTTATATCTTCCAAATAATATAATGTTGCTGGTAAGTACAAATACCAGTGACATTAATATATTGACCTTGTTTATAGCAACCTCTCTTGTTAGTCCTTCTATATAATTTATAAATTCTCTTCAATATTCTGTGTAGATAACCATAACACTGTGAATAACATCTTTATTCTTCATTTTCAGCCTTTTAATTTTTATTTTCTTATTGTCTTGTTAGAACATCCAGTATAATGTTGAATAGGAGAGGTAATAATACACGTTTGTTCCCAAACTCCTTTCACTAGATTACACCACCTCCTGATTTTAGCCCTACTCCAAGATGAACCGTCTTGTTATAGCCCACTAACCAAGAAATAGGTCTCCCAGTCACTACTGACTCAGACCTCCCTATCCAGGTATGCAGCTCCTACCAACCTCATTCAACCAACTGCACTTAATAAAGGTGTCCAACCATCCATAGGAGTTTGGTTTGGATGGTCCACTATTCTCTCAGGTGCAATGTGTCTGAAGTGATTCAAAACCTTTCTATATAACTATGTTCTTTAAAGGCATCACTATCCACCCAGGCTCAATAGTCAGAAACACATATTCTTCTCTCAAGCCCCATATCTAATTCATCATCAATCTTGTCAATTCGATATTCTAAATATCTACCAAAGTATTCTCTCCTTTCCATTCCCAACACTAATAATTGCTTTAGCCCTCAGTATCTCCCACCTTTACTACAGTAACAGTTTCCTAACTTGTCTCCCTGCCTTTCATCTCAATTCTCACCTACCATTCTTCTCACTGCTGCCAAGTTTATCTTTTTAAAATGCAAGTCTGATCATGACTCACCCAGCTTATAAACCCTTCACTGGCTCCCCATTGTCTACTGTATGAAGTTTTAGTTTCCCCCTGGTCGTGCAAGCAGCTTTATTTACTCTGGCTAGCTCTCTAATTTACTTTCCTACCATTCCCAATCTTGCCCTATAGTCCAGAAAAACTGACATGCTTATAGTTCAGCTATGCTATTTTCTGGTGCCATGATTTTTCCTCTCTGTTTGGATTGCTCTGGCAAAGTCTTATTCATTTTCAAACCCAGCTCATGTGTCACTTCTTCCAGGAACTATGGAAGAAAGCCCAATAAATATTTATTGAGCACTACTTATATGCCGGGTACTGTGCTAAATGCTAGGCATACAAAGATGAATAAGATATACTCTGAATATTGCAGGATCAGTTAGCTGCTTTCATTTCTTGCCTCCCTTTAGTTTTACCTGCCTGGAGCATGATTTTTACCCATATGTTTCTTTATTTTCTTTCCTGCCATTTCTTTTCTCCATTTTTGATAAATACACATACACAGGTACAAATACATTATTCTCAAATACATTTGCACACACACATATAGATGTAGTATTTAGAAACATTCATGAACACAGTTTCAACTAGGAAGTGTGATTATAAATGAGGAGATCATAAGCTCAACACTGTGGTTAGACCCTGGACCAGTCAACACAAAGAAGCACAATATGACTAGGGTGGTGCTTAATGGCGTGTGCTCTGAAGGCAGATTGCCTGAGTTTGCATCTCAGCTCTGCTACTTACAAGCTGGGTGACCCTAGGTAAGTAACTGAACCTTTGGGCCTCAAGCACCTCAGCTGTAAAATAGGGATAGTGATAGTCCCTGCCTCATACTGTTGTTGAGAGAAGTACTGAAGTTAATACAAAAAGTGCTTAGAATAGCGCCTAGCACAATCTAAGTGGGTTTACTAAATGGTAGCTATTATTATTACTCTGTATATGAGGACACTTTTGTCTCAGTCACTATCAGCAGGTCAAGTGATTTTTACTTCTATATCTAGCAATGAAAGAACCGTTTGTTGTTCTGAGCCAAATGTATTGTATACTCTTACCTAATCTTTATTGAACCAGTGGCACGTATTGCCAGAATGACTGGCCCAGGAGAGCTCATGGCAGTAGAATGGAGTTTTCCTTTATGTAGATATATGTAGAAAGAAACTGCATTAGCACACACTGATAGAATCAGCTAGCTGTAAATACAGATCGAGACATAGCTTGGTGAGAGTGTGTGGTGAAATAGCTACGAGTACAAGGTCTGGAATCAGACTGCCTCATTTAGACTCATTACTCTGCCACTTACTAGCTTTGTAACCTTGGGCAAGATCTTTCTTTGTACCTCAGCTTCCACATCTGTAAAATGGGATTGATAATAACAGTCCATATTTTATACAGTTATTGTGGAATATGCATATAAAGCACTTAGAACATTGCTTGGTACATGATATATAATAAGTGGTGAAGAAAAAAAGATGCATGCAGTAGACAGACAAACATATAAATAAAGTTAACCTAAGTGTTCACGCAATGGAGGTAGACATTCAACTGAATGAGTGATTCCCAAGAGAAAATAAGGAAACTCTAATTCTACTGCACTTAGGTTAACCTTTGTTCTTAGAGAACTCTCCCACACATCCCACCAATTATGTTTGGTTTAGACCACCAGGATTTCCTAAAATATGTTCCACAGAACATCTACCCTAAGATATGTGTAGGTAAAAAAGGGCTTTGTGGTTGAATAATGCTGGGAAATGTTGTAAGAAATATTCCCTTGGAAATTCAAATGTACAGTAGCACCCTACAGGTTTGATAAGTCCTCGAAAAAATGCTTCATTTAGTTTAGTCCAGTATTTCTTGAATTTATTTGATCACAGAGCCTTTTTTCCATATAATATTCATTAACATTCCATGGAACAGTACCATGGAATAAACATGGAGAAGTGCTGGGTTTGATGAATATTAAAATAACCTTTATACCACAGCAAGAGCTGAGGGGCATAGGAGGGAGGTGTGGGAAGGACAGGGCTCATACTTTTTCAGACTGGAATTGAAAATTTGCCTAGAACAATTCACAAGGCCAGGAACCACACAAATCCCTCAGAGTCACAAACACTCAAACACGTACAACGTTCCTGAGACCATGTGCGGTTCTCTGGATGGGATTAGGGGACCACCTCTCACTCACATCATATCCTGCTGCTGCTGCTGTGCTGGGATCCCCCTGTGGAAGATCTAAAGGCTTCTAAACATACTGTACCATCTGCCTTTGGCCATGCACTTCCTGAATTTACTTTCTACTTTCTGGAAAGGAAGAGACTAGAGAAAAACATTTAAAGTGGAGAGGCCCAATTGGGGAAGCAGAGGCCAGACCCAGGGGTGGACCTGGGGAGGGGAGATGGGAAGAAGGGACTGGGTTGAGACCTCCAATCAGATTCAGGACAAGGATGCCCCTCTGAGTGGAAGCGAGATGAGGGACACCAGTAGCACCAGCCAAGAGGACCCTTCACAGCAGAGCAGGGCAGGAGATACACTTAGGAGAAATAATATTGACTTCTAAGGTCAGTGACCAGAATGAGAGCTCCCTGAGGGGCAGAAACCATGATTAATGCATCTTTATAATTCTTTTCTTGAGAAAAAAGATGGCGGCTGGGAGAGAGGAGAATTGTGTTTGTTACAGAAGGGGGAGCACAATGAGAAATCCCTGGTAAGGGAGAACTGTATAAAATGGCTTTCTGTCTACTTACGCTGACCAGTGTTTGGGAGACTTTCCAAATTAATGTCGTTGGTAGGTTGGTACCTGAAGGCAAGTGTGCCTTCTTCCTCTGTTTTGTTTTACCCTTCCCTGTGGGCTCCAGCCAAGGAAGGAGGAGAGACGGGATTACATCCTAGGTGGCCTGGTGCAAAGAGACCTAAAATCTTTGACCTTGGGAGGGCTGAGGTCTGTGAGGGGCTGCTGAGCTGCACGCAGGATGGGAAATAATAAAAAGGATTGTATCAACATTAACAATGCCTAACGACTGGTGGTTGGGAGCAGGACTTTTTCTTATTTCCATTAATTTATATTTTTCTAACTTTTCTATAATAAGCATGTTGCTTTTACAATTGTGGAAAATTAAACCTATTTCTGCAGTTCATTTCCTACATCTTTAGTTTCTAGAAAATCTGAACAGACATTACTTGTAAACTTCCTATTGGTGTGTTTTTAGTGGAAAAAAAAGTTTTCCAAGTACGTATGAGTGAATGGAAATTTAACTCAGGAACTACTCCTAGAAAGTTCTATCCACATAATTCTACAATTTGCTAGGGGTAAGATTTCCCGAGAACTTCTGGGGGCAAAAAAAATGGTAACATTCCCGATAGCTGGGAGGGGTGAGTGGCAGGAGACGGTGTTTGGGTGAGGAGGAGAATTCCCCGGCAGTCCGCAGAGCGGGCGGCGGCAGGTACGAAGGTGGCCGCGGTCTGGGACCGGGGGCGGGGCAGGAAACCCGGACGCGCGGTGCGGGAGGCGGGGCCGGGGGGAGCGCCGCAGGTGGGGATGCGCCGGGCGGTACCAGCCCGCGGCCCAGGATCCGCCCTCCCGCCCCGCTGCGCAGAGTGAGGGGAAACGGAGGGATTCCTTGGAGAAGTGGTGCGTCCCGGGGCCGCAGCTGATGAATGAAGACACAGTGCCCCTGGAGCTGAAAGGGGCCAGAGAGGGGCCGGCATGGGCCCCGAGCTGCCTGCACCTTGGCTGCTGCTCTTCATTTGGCTCCCAGCAGGTGAGCCGTGGGAAAATGCGTCCCACCCTGGGCCCAAGGAGACAGGAAGCCATTGTTGCCTGGCCTTGCAGAGCCGGCCACAGGCGGGGCAGCGGAGGCCTGGGCCGCGCTCCGGTGCCTCTTGGCAGGGCGGGGACTGGATCGAGTTTCTGCCTGTGGGAACCTGTTGTTTTCCTCTTTTATTAACCCAGGCCCTTTCAAGACAGGTGCAACTAAGAAAGAAACTAGGAGCCCCTGGGCTTCCCCTCCTGCAGTCATTAAGCACCTCTTGGTCACTTGACTCTAAACCTGAATTGATAGAGGCGGAAACAGCACTCTTAAAATTCCTAATTACTCTTTCTTTTCATCTGATACTTGCTTTTAGATATGAGGACAACCATATTGGACCAGAAATGCATTTATTTCTCTCCTAGGAGGTTATAATGTATCCTCAGTATGTAATGGAACGTGGGTATGATTCAGAATCTATTTTACGGGACCAAAACCTGTGGCTCTTTGCTAACCATGTTCACTGTCACTTTTTTACTTTCTTTGTATCCACGAACTTCCCTAACTTGCCCTCTTGCTGGTATCTCCCCATCAGGTGCCCAACCACCAACCCTCTCCTTCGTTCTCTTAATCTCCCACCAATCCCGTCTGCTTTGGAAGTGTAGTTTTGTGTGCCTCCATGTTTCTCCTGGAAATATGACAGGAGAGCGTATCTGCATGAGAGAAACCAGAGAGGAAAGGATAGCTGAGTGAGGAACCTGCAGGCTCTTTCAGCCCTTTTCAGTTAGGCTGTAGCTGTGACCTTGCAAACAAGAATGTGTGAGTTGCCTTGAAGTTCTGCCCTGTTTTATTTCATTTTACCTTTTTTTCCCCCTCTTTTAGGCATAGCTGCCCTCTTTCCTCTAAGTTGTCAGTGGAGGTCAGCTCTCTTGGCTCACAGACCAATTTGAGTCTTGTATTTTTCTGAGGGAAAAGATGTAATATGAAGGTACAGGCAGAATTTCATTTTTACAAGCTTGATAGGATGAAAATCTCTCAGATGTAACCAAATCAGACAAGATTCTACAATAAAGCTTCATGCTGAGAATAAAAAGGAGATTTGCAAAAGGGTAGGAAAACTGGAAAATTGACATTCCTAAGGTCCTCTGGCTTACAACATTTCTTATAAATTGTGAAGCTGACAAGACTAGATGTACACAAGGAAATGGACTAAACCTCACCTAAATTAAGTGCCTGGAATTCCACCAGAGCAATCACCAGCTTAGACGTGAAAGCAAATTCATAAAAATCCCACAGCTTCCCACAGTCTTCTCTCCTAGGCCTCACATGTTCAGCTCCAACTCCACGGCCGCTAGGGATTTCTGAAGCTGCTTGAGCTGCCTTTTCTGGAAAGTAGAGGTCTACTCCCACCTCTACCCCTGGTCATCCCATCCCCAGAATTAGAACTTTGTAACCAGCAGTCGTCGTCCGGGTCAATAGAATAAGAAAAGAAGCCTTATAGATAAAAATCCCATTAGGGTATAACCCCCAATCCTTAAATCACCAGCATAATGTTATAAAGCTATTCGATTTTTATGAAGAATATTGAACACTGAACATTTGTCAGATACAGTGATTATAACCAAGGCTGTATTCTTATAGTAAGCAAATTGCTAAATGGACAGGGACCTCGGAAAGCGGAGCTCCAGGTGTTCATGAACTGGCCATGTAGTGTTAGTAGCCAGGAAGCTGCATGGTAAAATAATACTGACTGCTGTGTTTGCCTGCCATTCTTTCCACGGAAGCCCACCTGATGACCCGCTTTAGAACCAGAGAATGCTGAACGCGAAAAGTCCTAAGTGAACATCTAAACTCACTTCTATTTCATAAGTGAGAAATTGAGATTTCAACTGTTTTGACTCCAACACTTGAGGGGAAATATCTATTTTAGCAGATATTTTCCCTGAATATGTGTAGGGAGTGTAAATAAAGCTGCCTTCAACTATGTCACGTGCATTTGGATTTTGCATCCATGATGTTTGCGTGACTCTGGTCAAGTTACTGAACTGCTGAAAGCCCCCAGTAAAGGGGGATGATTGTAGTGCATATCTCATAAGGTTTTTGTGAGGATTCAATGATATGAAGGTTTTAAAGCACTTAATACAGTGCCTGGAACGATGTGAGGGCTTAATATATGTTAGCCATGGTGATAATGGTAGTCATGATCTAGACCCTAGTAGGATTTTTTAAAGCTAACTTTAAAGAAATAGTTTAAGCTTCCTCTACTTCTCCTTCCCCTACAGCTAAGAAACTGACGTTACTAGTCAGATGACATTCAGATTCTAATTCAGAATCTGCCTCTTACTAGCTGTGATTTTGGAGGACTACTTAATTTCCCCTTATCTAGACAACCGACGAAATTCCTGACAAGTCCCTCCCCGTCACACCTCACAAAGCCAACCCTTGTTGGATAGGTTTAGATTGAGCACAGTGTGTACTGCCTGGTCATCACTCAGGAAATACTGGGGCCCTTCCCATTGCCCACACCTCTTTATTTATTCTTAAGCCAAACTTCCTAAAATGTCTCTAAGATCAAACTGAAAATCAAGCTTCCTCTCTCCCTCCCAGTATCTACCAAAGCAGTGCTTTTCAAACTTCTTTTCACAGCCCCCAGTACGAAATACAGTTTACATTGTGACATGTGCACACATATATAAGATTTATAAAATAGAAAAGGTGCACAAAAAAAGTTACTGTGTTGGATAAAAGAATAGCAAATGACATCAAATATTATTTTAATAACATTTAAATTCATAGAAAATAATCCTCAAGTTAATAGTATTAAATACAAAAATCCAGTAAGTAAGTTGATTTTTTCTCAAGATCCGCTGCAAACTGTGATATGCACTTTGGAAAACCCTGTGCTAGAGTGTGTTCATTTTGGTCCATCGCCTCGTTCTCTTGTGTTTCTAGAGAAGAGTCAACTCAGTCCTCTGATTAGCATCCACGTTTCTGCAATTGCAAAGTGTGGGCCTGGAGTGAAATTATGTCAGATTTGGATAAACTTGCTAGTCCGTGTGGCTTGGGGCCTCTGATGAAGCCTTGGAGGTCAGGGAGTCCTGGGAAGTTACTACAGTCCCTATGCTTTGAGCTGTGGAGACATCACTTGTCAGATTTTTTTTTTTGTAACTCTCCAAAGTTTTTTCTTTAAAAAGAGTTAAGTTTTTATCGCTCAAGTGATACTTGCTCCTTAAAACAAAAGATTGAGATAAGGCTGAAGTAAGTACCTGTAGCCCTTTGTATTATTGGCTAAGAGCTCTGGTTACCTTTGTCCAACCTCAAAGTTTATTCCTAGAATGAAAGTTAGTTTCCCCCTCAAATTCTAAAAGGGTGTGTCATCTGTGCTTTTGTGAAAAGTTTTTAAGATCATAGTTAACTTACACATCCACACAGCTCTCAACCTGTCTTATCGTTCTTTGGGAAATCAGACAGCTGACTCCTCAGGGACAAGATTCTTAGCATCTGGACCAGTAACTTTCCCTCAGTCGTAAGGGTGAAGGTTGGGGTCATACTGAAGACTTACTGACGTCTTGATCCCTGAGATAGTAGATAGTAAAGTGGAGCTTCTCGGAGTGAGGGGGGTGTGGGTGGTGGATGAGAGACTGCCCACTTGGCTCCTCCATTACCCCCATGGGCCACCTGAAGTACCTCCCCAGAATTCCAGTGCTCTGTTGAACACAAATAGAAATCACCCCCAGCCCCTGTCTTTCCCTCTCAGCCAGTTTTGGGAATAAGGAAATCTGTGTCCAGGGAAGTCATGCATCTCAGGTTGACACAATGGAGTTGGTTTGAGAGTTGGGACCAGATCCCTGGCATCCTCACTCTTGGTCCATTCCTCTTTCACCTGTTTCCTGCCATGGAGCAGGTTTGTTTTGTCTAATGGAATCCTGCTATGCAGAAATAGAAATAGACTGTATCCTGGATGTATAACTAAATGCTAATTATTGAACATCTTGCCCCAAAACAGTGCAGCGGATGAGATGCTGGGTAATTCATGTACGTTCTGCTTGGGTTTCTTTCAGCCTAATACTTTATTTCATTATTTGAAGTCCTTGGGGGAGAAGTAAAATTGTGTATTTTAAGAATTGGGAAGACTCTGATCATGTCTTGTCTTTCTCTGGTCCTTATTTCTGGATCTTCCAATCTGCAAATCTTGGGGTAAGATAGGGTCAGAGGAAAGCATTTTGACACTTTCCTCATTTCCCAAATCCAGTTAATCACCCAGTTCTGTTGCTTAATCCCAGGATCTGCCCTTTCTTTTCTATTCCAGGTGACAAACCTTGCCCTAGCCTACTTTAAGCATCTTAACCATCTCCTTCCCTCTAGGCCTGCTACCTCTCTGTCTAGTTCTAACCATCCTCTACCCAGATGCTAGGTTAACCTACCTGGGTTAATCTTTCCCACTTTCACTTTAATCCTCCATCCAAGAACCTCCACTAGATCCCCATAGTTTCTAAGAGTGAATTAAAGCTCTTTGTTTGGAATTCAAGGCTCACTCATTCTGGCCTCATTAACTTGGGCAGCCTTGTCCCCATTGATATGGGCATGCTCCTGTACGCTCTCTCCTCCCAGCACGTACCCTTCTTCCTTGTTTTTTTTCTGGCCGTACTACAAATGGTTAACTTTAACCATTTATTTTCTGTACTTTTAGAGCACTTAAAATTTCTTCCAAGAAGTTTAGCCTTGTCTTGTATAAATTTGTTCTTTTATTCAGCAAATGTTTAATGTACACTATGTACAAGGTGTGCTGACAAACAAGAGTGGACATGGCCCTGGCCCCTACGGTGCTTATGGTCTAAAGGGAATACAAGCAAATACAGAAATAATACTATGACAGAGATCATGAGAAAGAGATTACAAGACACCACAAGAGCATATCATAGATGGATTTGGCTCGTTTGGGAGGCCCTCCCTGAAGAAGTGTTGCTTGAGTTGAGAGCTGAGGACTGATCATTCCAAACTAAAGGAATAGC